CAGCCTTGGATTGATAGAGATAACCCCCCTGAGCCCCCAGCCCAGACTGTCTGATGCCATGATTCAAAATAAGATAACCTGTGTCAAGATAAGATAAGATGGTCAATGGAAAGATGAAAAAGTGATGGAATTATGACATATTTGTGCATATAGAACATGTGAACTGGATTGTAAAGTGGAATATCAAATGTGTTGCAGGATCAGATCAAAAGTGTGTAGTGAAGGTAGGGGGGGAACACAGACAAAGCACTTGTGTAAAAGAATAGCACGTTTCACTGGCATGAACTGGTGTATTGGAATGCATGACTGCTGCTGAGGGCAGGAAGATGGTTGACCCAGCAGGGAACCGAACACAGAGGCACAGTGTTGCCGAGACAAGGATGAGAAATCAAAATTTAACTTGAAAGTCAAAAGTCAATTCAACTTCTGGTCTCAAGATCGACAGCTCGTCTAAGAGACCACATTATCAAATTCGCACTCAGATGATCAGCTGCTTACACAATTCCATACTACCCACAAATCTTTCCATGATGAGCTCATTTCCTGCCCTTGACTGGGATGTTGATCACGTTGGCTAGTAGTGCTTTTATATTGATACGAGGGACTAGCTTGAATGCTGGTCTCATGCCCCAGAAACCAGTCAGATTCGGAAGTGTTACCCGACTCAGGCTAAATATCTGGTGATGCGCTCTTCAGCTTAGCTAGACAAAAGTCCTGCATGTTCCAAAGCTTAGCCGCAGGACATCATCAAAATAGCGCGGTGGCCGAGTTCCACTTCGGGATACCGCAGTCTCCACATCTATTGTTATTTCGCTCCCTTCATCCAAGTAGTTGAACTGATTGATTATGGCATGACCGCCGAAATCACGCCTCGATCTCCGACACCCTGTCCGCAAGAGCCTGCTCCTGCCACATTCTGGCATACAAGCCGCCCTGCTGCAACAGCTGCTCGTGGCTGCCCTGCTCCGCAACCTGCCCGTCCCGCAGCACAATGATCAGATCTAAGAGGCGAGCCGGGCGACTTAAGCAGCGACCCAGGAAAAAAAAAAATAGGAGGGGACTCACCCGCTTCAACGATAGTTCGTAATCGGTGAGCGATGAATATGCTCGTCCTGGATCGATCCTTCAAGATATTGTTGATATTCCGCATCACCTCCGTTTCCGTCGTAGCGTCCAGGGCTGAGGTCTGTGTTCGACTATGAGTAATGCAACATCGAGCGAGATAATAATAAAACTCACCGCCTCATCGAAGAACAATATCGGCGGATCTTTCAACAACACACGCGCGAGCGCCAACCGCTGTTTCTCGCCGCCACTGATCATCAAACCCCGCTCACCCACCTGCGTGCGGTAGCCCGCGGGCAAGCGCATCACCGCGTCATGCACATTCGCCTTCTTCGCAGCCTCGAACACCTCCTCGTCGCTTGCCGACAGCCGGCCGTAGCGGATATTGTGCAGGATGTCGGAATGGAACAGCGGTGTGTCCTGCGGCACGACCCCGATCGCGCGCCGCACGCTGTCGAGTTGGGTATTGCGTATCTCCTGGTCGTCGATGTAGATCTGCCCTTCCGACGGTTCGTAGAAGCGGTACAGCAGCCGGAGGACGGTGGATTTTCCACACCCGGAAGGCCCTACGATAGCGACTTTCTGCCCGCCAGGAACCGTGAAGGAGAGATTATTAAGAATGGGTCGTTCGGCTGTATATCCAAAGGTCACATTCTCAAACCGAATGGTTCCTGCCTGAAGAGACAAAGGAAGGGCGTTCGGCGGGTCCTGGTGGGGAGTTTAGGGACGAGAGTAATTTCTAGAGGAAAATGCATCGACCAGACGCGGGGGATTCTCATCCCGAATCTTGAACAAGACTTCCATATCCAACAAATTCTGCCTCATTTCCCGATAAATCGTGCCCAAAAAGTTGAGCGGGAGCGAAAGTTGGAAAATCAGTTGGTTGATCATCACCAGATCGCCCACACTCATGGTTCCTATCGCAGAGATGAGCATACAACAAACCCAAAATGAAACCAGCGTCGACCTTTTACCACTCCCTGAGCAGCCATGAACATCGCCATAGTCAGCGCGCCGGAGAAGATCACCGTCTGGCCCGAGTTGAGCATCGCCAGCGAGGTGGTGATCTTGACAGACGATTTTTCGTAGTCTGTCAAGTGCTTGTCGTATTGGGCTATCTCGTACGGCTCATTGTTGAAGTGCTAAGCAACCCATGAGCACAAGCACGAGGATTCGGCGACCGCACGCGACCTTGACAGCCTCGAAGTTGATCAAGGAGTCTACGGCAGATGAAGCCGCCTTGTTGTCAGCTTGGTTCGCCTCTCGCCGGAATTTCGTCCTGGGGACATAACGAGTGAGGTTCGTCAACCACACGAGGGAAAAAAAAATTGTTCCGAACCTCCATGACGTAGTGCGAATGGTGAACCACGTGTAGCCGGCTAACGTGATGGCGGTGAGAGCGGCAAAGTCCCATCCGAATTTGTAGGTCTGCGCGGGTCTAGAGACACGAGACACGGAGACAACGCAAATGAACTCACAAGGATGCCGCACACAAGCGAGATCTCGAGCGCGGTGGGTACGATGCGGAACAGCATCGCCTGCAGCAAAAACGTGATACCTCTGGAAAAGGGAAAAGCAGCGTTCAGCTAAAGGCAGGGTGGCACGAAGACAGAAAGCGGACGACACACGTACTTCGTCCCGCGGTCGATAGCCCGAGTGAGCCCACCTGTCTGCCTCGAGAGATGGAAGCCGATGTCGAGCGAGAGCAGATGCTGGAACGTCTCGCGCGCCACCTTGCGGATGGCGCTCTGCCCGATGTTAGCGAACACTGCGTTCAGCAGTTCGCCGAAGACAGCCGACGATATCCGCGCCGCGCCGTCTGCCGCCAAAGTCAGCGCGCATGTACCTCGGTGAAACACGCCGCGACAGCAGGCGACTCACAGCCAACGACGAGCGTCCCCGCGATGGTCCACGCGGTCGCCGTGGACGCCAGGTCCATATTCAGCGCGTCGATTACGTCCTTGAAGATGTACGGCACCTGCACGTTCAGCAGCTGGCCGGCCGGTGCTCAGGTTCGCTATACGCGCGGCAGGGAGCGCGGACGCACCTTGCTCGCGATGAGCAGCCCAAAACCGAACACCACCGTGGCACGCGTCTTCCAGTCGTGCTTCGGCCACACGTGCGGGATCAGGCTCTTCGCTATCCGCCAGTCCATCTTGCGCTGCTCCTTCGTCGATACCGTGCCGGCGTTTGTCGAGGGTGGAGCAGGTGGAGGCGAGGAGGGTGGAGGAGGTCTTGTTGGCGGTGCGTCCTGGTCGTCCTTCGCCTCAGGCTGCTGGGCCATGTTCTGATACGTGCGCCCCAGCACTCGGAGCGAGGGCCGTGACCCTGGCCATGGTGCAGGGTGTAAGCGAGCGGAAAGGGCCGGGAGACGGCGGAGTGCGGAAGCAGAAGACGACGAGGGCGAGGCGAGCGTCAGAGATTTCAGGAACGCGCGTCGGCAGGTGCTGGGGAACATGCGCAGGTCGTCGGCGACTGCAAGGTTCTTTGGCGGAAAGCACAAGATGGCGTCAGATCAACGCGATATGATCTCGATCAATCACGCAGATGAGATCATCGGAGGCTACAGTCCAGTGACTCGCTCAGCCTTATTTCGGAGCCGCACATTTTCGGAGATTTTCACCTTGCTTAGGGCCCCTCACGACATTTTCACTCCACTTTCCGGGAACGGCACAGCAAAGGGAAGAATGAAGATTCAGTCTCCGTGCTAGTAATATAGTGCGGAGCGACATTTGCCTGAATAACTTGCACTGGAGGGGGCTCTTTGTAGGAAAAAACTTATATACTAAAAATCGACGTCAGTTTAAGTGACGATTTACACCAGTAATAGACGTCTCCTGTCCCAATTCTTTGAACTGATTTTCCCCCAAAGGTTTTCGTCACAGAGCTCCACGGGCCAGCACCGCCGGGTTCCATCGGTCAACTCGGAGGAATATCGACCGCTCACGTGCTCTGCCACATTGTTGGGCGTGTTGCATTCTGTTGAATTTTTTTCGGGCTGACTGGGTGCTGCGCCGGCCAGTCTCTTTACTTTTCAGAGCGTGATAGTTGATTCTCGTTCTCTTGACTATGATAATGGCTGATTTTCTCAGGTGCATAAAGTGCGTGGCGTTGCGTCAGGATCATTCACGCCTGAGCTGAAGGGTATTTCGCAGGACAGCGAAATATCTTCTCCGCTTTCCTCGAAGTATATCCTTCGTGCCCAAGCTGCCCCGCGCGCGATTCACTGCAACCCAGACCGACTGTTCAACAAAATCTCGGTGCTCTCTGCGTTTGTGCTGGACACGTTGACCGGTTTTGCTGCGCTGCGACGTGTTATTTGTACATGGGTGGCCGTGCGTCTGCGTCTACGTCTGTGTCTCCTGTGTTTGGTCTCTCTCTCTGTTGACGGATGATTGTGCTGTAGCATCGTGGCAATGAACGGTAACTTGCGGCCATAGTGCGTGCAACCGACACCCCGCTCGGCGCCGGCCCTGACATTTGATGATGCAGACCTTGAACAATCCCGGTGTACGTCCTCGCGACCGTAGACACCGTTGTGATTGTTCAGGTGTGGCTCACGCGCATCCTGTACAACCTGGAAGTCCTGCTGTGGCCTCCGTTTCTCAGTCTCGATCACTCCCTCACTCGTGCACCTGCGCAGGACGAAGCAGTGGTACTGTAACTGGATTCCGGTCATCGCGCTCGTGATCGTTACCGGGCTCGTGGGGGGCACCGCGACCGCGGTGCAGCTGTGTCTTCATCCGCCGTACGCCGGCAGATCGGCCCTCATCCGATACGTCACGCGCGAGTATCGCTGCTGTTGTTTACCCCCAGATTCGGGACCAGCAACTGACCTATGTGTGTGTGTGCGACAGTGTGGCTGTCCGGGACGGTGGCGGCGGGATGGCGGCGCATGCGATCATCACTGCGATACTCGTCGCAAGTTCCACGCGATGAACGCCGAGACGAGCTTCAAGGACACGTGCAATGCGATCAGGCGGCTGACCATCGCGTCCCTCCGCAACGGTGCTATCACGACCGTGTTATCATGAGTACTAGTCTTGTTTCGTGATGCATCTCACGCCTTGCTGACACGCAGCAGCCTCATCGCGGTGGTCATCTTCTGCATCCAACCGGAGACCAACAGTGTGTAGACTGTTTCTGACTGAACTGCGCGCCTCTGATTGATTATAACACAGCCGCGACGATGATCGAGATCATCGTCGGCCGCATTTACTCGCTCTCGATGCTCTCTAACCCGAACAACCGCGCGTCGCTGCTCGGCGACACCAGCCTGCACGGCAACAAGACCTCAGAGGCCAACATCGGTATCAATCCCCACGGCATCGACGGCAACTACACGGGCGGGGTCCCGATGGTGCTGCGCATCCGGCATGACGTGGAGACGCACTATCAACGCGACGCTATACCAATGGAGGCGCGCGGCAAGGAGGGCGGCGGCCTGGAGAGTAACGAGGACGGGATCGTCATCGAGTATAAGTTCCAGGAGGGGACCGTGTATAACCATCCTTTCTAGAGTCTCACTTCCAGTATAAATTCGTTTTTCTGTGCGGATGAAGTGTTTCGGATCGTGTCGGAGATTACCAGTCTCACGTGTAAGCGCTGACGTTCCTGGCAGTCATTAATCGAAGTCACATGAGCGTGTTGAGATCACGTGCGATATCACGACAAGCGCCGCGGCATCTTCACTCTCGCCTTCCATGCAGAAGTTGGCAACACCGCCTACCTTAGCTGGTTCTCAGTAGAGTTTTTTTCTCACTTTACAGTGACGGCTCCGACCTGTTTCGATGGAGACCGAAAGTGTGCCGGGTGTACCAGAAGCCTCTCGCTCGACGTCTTCCTTGGGCGTTCGTTGGCACGCCTTCTCAGGGACGATCGATCGTTTCTTGTAGTTTCAGGTGTTCTGGTGCTCTGTTTGTGGAGTATCTCTTCGGCTGCCTAGTCTCGCGATGTGGCGCGCTCTGTTGTTTTCCCATGGACGAGTGTCTGTGAAGCTGCCTGACAAATCGTGCATCTCACGGAGGGACCCTTCTCTATTGCGTCATCGTCATCGAGCAGCCCCAACTCGCGTTTTGGGAAACGACTCCGCCATATTCGGTCGGCGGCATCGGGCCCTGGGCGCCGAAGGAAGAAAGGAAAGAAGACGTCAGTCAACAACCCCGCCCAAGTTTCGAACGCGTCGATCACGTTTGCATCGTACGTCGACTTCCTTCCTTCACACCCGCCTGGCATTTTTCTCTGCTCTTCACCGCCCCCTCCTCGCTTCCGGACTCCGGGCCTCATACTTATCATGACCTTCGTCGGTGGGTCCGAGTCGTACTTCGTAGCGTCTGCACCCATGGAGTGCGCTGCCGAGCGCGAGTTTGTGAGTCGTCGTCGTTGTGGCTTTCATCTTCCTGAACCCACTGACGCAGAAGACAGTGCTCGAACTTCAAGTGCTGCAACGTCGCGCTGTCGGACATGCACGCGCTCTTCGACCACTTCGAGCGCTTTCATCCCAGCGGCAGGGTGCCCTCCCCCATACCGTTCTGGGACGATTACAGGCCTTCTGCCAGCTCCGTCGTGGAATGGCCGCTGGGGACGGAGGAGTGCGAAGACTGGGCGCCGCGCGAGGAAGACCCGCCGCTCTCGCCTGCGACGTCTGACTGTTCTTTGTCGTCCTCGGCGTCCTCAGCATCTTCGTCGACTCTCTCGCATAGATCTTTCTCGACACCAGAGCCGCAGGTACTCGCAGACGCGCCCTGCTCGATCGCCACGGGCTGCGTTGTGCCCGCAGCCGTCCCGGCGCCCGTGCCCGTGTCGATGTCGATGACCACCTTCTCGCTGCTCCAACCCCGCGAGTACGTGCCGCAGACAGAGGACGTGTTCACTGCGCCTTCCCCCTCCTCGAACAAGAAAGCGAAGCGGGCCAAGACGCCGAAGGGCAGGGCGAGGGCGGGGCTTCCCGAGACGGAAGGGGCCGCCAGCATCCTCGCGAAGACGCTCCGCCGGAACCTCGGCGACAAGGTGCGGGCTGCGGCGGTGGTGGGTGAGAGTCCCGAGAAGGCCGACTTTGAGCCACCGGCGTCGGCGTCGGTGTCCCCGACCTGCCACGAGTTTGTGCTGGATCTGACGCCCGGGTCGACATCCACGACGGCAGCGATGGACGACATACTCCGCTCAGATCCGCCCAAACCGGTGCAGTATCTGAATGGGCAGCCCAAGACGTACGTGTGTCCGGTACGTCGCGCCCGCCGCATTGCTTGGCTGGACACGCGTTGACTGACGAATGTGCGCTTCGCTAGGTCCCGCAGTGTTTCAAGGTGAGGATCCGCGCCCGCCCCTCCGTCGTGAACTGACGCGTTTATGTCTTTATGGGTGCGCCAGGCATACCTGAACCCGAACGGCCTGCGGTACCACATCGAGCACGGCCAGTGCTCCGACGCGCACGGCGCTGTGTGCCCCCCCGCGCTGACCGCGCCCTACCGCCGCGAGTACCTCGCCGCGCACGGCTCCCCCTCGTCGGCGGGTGCTGCAGGGAGACTGCGCGCGGGGAGCAGTAAGCGCGGGCGCGGGCGGTATGAGCGGACGCCTGTGCGCCAGTCCCCACGCTTCGGCAAGTTTCGCAATGGGTTTGCGGTGGAGATGGAGCTGGTCCGGGCGGTGGAGGCGGTTCGGGCTGCCGAGGTAGACGCGGGTTCACAGTCGGATTCGGATTCGGATTCTGAGATGGGGACGGGCTGAGTCTCGTGTGGGGGAGACGACGGTTGCTCAAAAGTATTACCATAATTTGCTTGACATACTTACACACAATGAATGCCAATTGTCGAGGCTCATCTAATCTCATCTAATCTGATTTCGCCGGTATGAAATCGGGTCGCTATGGCGGCCGGGGCACGGCATCTTATTGCCGTCGCTTCAGCGCGCTTCCTCCGCTGCATGGGCACTCCTGTCACGCTCATTTCTGGAAGACCTTTCTCAGAGCGACTTGAGCGCACCCGTATGGGCTGCCCTATGGAACTGTCTGCTGTCTACGGCCATTTTCTTGGTTCCCTTCCGCCGCCACCACATCTTTAGGGACGTCGCGACCGCGCTGTTCGTCGTTAGGTTTCCCGGCGCGCGTGGTCACCCGCTAGTGACCGAGCCACCTCGGAGGCAATAAGATCAAAACCGACACGCGAGGCGAGGGCTACGGCCGCCGGACCGTGCATGAGGTGTATATAAGACGTGCAGATCCGCGGCGCTGGGTTTCTCCAGTCTTCGCGTCCTCCACATTCTTTCCCCAATTCGCCACTTTCTTTTTCTCGCGCCAGTCGCCTTTTGATAAAGCTTTTCAGCCCCTAGCCAACGCACTTCACCCGATCTCAAAGGTGCGCGCTCCAACGTATGTATCAGCAGCGGCGAGGTGACTGAATCTGCGGTGCCCGGCATAGATGTTCGCTACCCGCTTTATCGTTTTCTTCCTCTCGTTCGTTCTCACCTCGGTCCTCGCGGCCCCCATCAACTCGCGCGCGGCCGTCAAGCTCAACGTCGCGAACTGCACGGCGCGCAACGTCAAGCTCAACACGCACGACTGCGACGTCGCGCTCCTCGGTGTACGTCCCCCCCTGTGCGTTGTGTGTGTCGGTGCTCATGGCATTTCGGGTAGCTCGGAGGCGGAATTGCCGGAAAGATCCAGTTCCTGCGCGTGAACGCCGCGTCGACCACCGCCGTCAGCGGAACCTGCCGTGTCACCGCCACGGCCGTCAACGGCGGTACGTCCCTGCCTGGGACCCGAACGGGGCTGGCTCGCTGACTCTATGTGTGTGCTAGGTACCACGATCGACATCAGCAAGGGCCGTCTTGAGGGCCACGGCTCCAGCAACGGTGGCTTCGACGTACGTGCAGCGCCCCCCTCGCGCACGGACTGACTGACTGACCTACCGATGTTCAGAACCTGCGCGATGCCTGCGGAACGACCCCCGGCTCGATGATCATCGGTGGTGGATCCAACAACGGTGGGGACATCGAGATTGCCATCTCCAAGGCGTAATTGTTGGATGGAAGGTGTCGTACCCGTGCTGTGCAGCACCAGATTAGCCACACGGACCACTCGCTTTCCCGTACATGTCGCCGTTCCGTTTGTGGAATTTATCCTGTGAAGCCGAAGTCAGAATGCTAGCGAGGGTCTGTTCGAGAGTGGTCGACATTCCATAAGGTCTGGCCCGGGCACATCCTGATGTGGCCCCAAGTCACGGCCCACAAACGAAACCGGGCCAGTTCGGAGATAGCCGTGATTGGCCATCTCCTTCACCGATAACCAGATCGCGACTCTGGATGGGCTCACAAACGCACGAACTGCTGTAAGAATGGATGTAAAAAAAATGCCGAAGAGGATGAGGAGCTGGCTACTTGGGTATCTTGCAGCTCTATTCACTGCTTGCCTTGTCTCATCAGGCAGCTGCTAATGAGCAAAACAAGTTAAGATGATGGACATAATGTTACCTCAAGCGCTTCGAGTTACTACTAGTACAAATCCACAAGAAAACACTCCGTGCCAGCATCGATAGAAAGAGCATGTTGTCAGGCTGTTGATGACATGCCAGATTCTCACGCCATCAGGCAATGTGGCCTGATGGAACTTCCTTATTTGTATCTGGCTGAGGGTCTCGTGGGTCGGCCAGATCAGCTGATGTAGCCTATGATTATTATGATATAGCCCACACAGCCTACTCCAATGATATCACAAAATTACTTGATCTAGAATGTAGTCTAGGCCAGATTCTTATGGAATGTTGTCCAGTGGTTTGTGATTGTGAGGAACAGTGCACTAATTGTAATGCTGGTGCTAGCTGTAAATGAAATCAAAGGATTGGTAATGTACTTGGAGACATTACGTAAGGCCCTGTTCAGCAACCAGTGTAATGTTGCGTAGCATAGCACACAGCAGATTTCAAATGATTGGGTGGGTTTTGATCACAGACGGCTGCTCATTTTTGTTTACATCTGATGTAGCATGCTTGGTATCTGCTCCACTAACATGATGGAAATGCGGCTGCACACCTCATTTTATTATTATTCCACTTCCAAAGGAATGGGTACCAGGTCTAGGATCCCTGATAGGGAGAATTTGTCTTGTATCCCTTCCATGAGCTGCGGCAATGCTAATGCAATATTGTGTGCAACCTTTGAATGTTGTGACAATCCATGGAGATTGTGGGAAGCATCAAACAATTTGATGCATTGTGATCTATCCCTGACCATGTGATTTCAAAATTGTGGCCAGTGCTTGCTGTAGATATCAATGAACTGTTGTGATCATCAACCAAAAGCAATAGTCAAAAAGAGAAGTGAATTCAAAGACTGGAAAATACAACCAAGTAGCTACAGTATTTATACCCAAATCCAGTCTGAGTCATATCTACAACTAATGAGTCATAAGGCTATGTACCGCATGGTGCACTGGTCATGGGTTGTAGTAGAACCTTCTGGAGCATATGTCGCGCAGCCTCAAATCAATAAAGATAATTGCTGGAACCCCTAGCCCGGACTGTCTGATGCCGTGATCTGTGATAAAATAAGATGGTCGATGATAAGATGAAAAAGTGGCCGAACTATGACATTACCCCCTCTCTAGGGTCGATGTCCTCACCGACTAGGTCAATGGGCACGAGGATGTTCTCGTAAGGGTCGAAGAGTTGTTGTTGGGGATACGGAAGGTGTTCGTCTTTGGGTTTGTAGCAATGAATGAGATAATCCCAGTGCCCGGCTTCGAGCGTTGGCAGGAGGCAAATGCGTGTGTCTGGGTTGGATTGTTTCCTCTGCCAATCTCTCAGGACCTTTTTTGCATGGGTAAGATGACGTGATGGTTCCCAGCTATTTTCGCTATGTGGCCATCCCTTCCATTTGACCAAGTATTGCTTTCCTCGGCCGACTTTTTGTTCCTTCACAATTTCTTTGACTTCCCACTCTTCTGCTCCTCCAATCATCTTGGCTACAGGTCTCTTCTCTTGGTGATGGGGGGGTGGTTCGTGATAGGGTGTCAACAGTGACTCATTGAACACCGGGTGTCTTCGATCTGTGTCCGGCAAATCCAGCTTCCATGCGGCCGCTCCAACCTTCTCCAGTATCTCATATGGCCCCAATCTCTTGTTGCTCATCTTCTTCAAAGGCCTGTCCGTCTTGATATTGTCCCCTTCTATGTACATCTTCATCCCAACCTTTAACTCCGGAACTTCTTTTCTTTGTTTATCGTAGTATTTTTTCATTTTTTCATTTGCTTTTTCCAATGCTGCTTTTGCTTCGTCTTGTATTTCTTTGATTCTTTTTACAAACTCTTCCGCCGACTCGTTCCTCGATTCCATCTGCTGCTCCACTCCCTTCCATGGGTGATATCCGTGATTTGCATAGAACAGTGATATTTTGGTAGACGTGTTCATTTTATTGTTATATGCGAATTCTGCCATTCCCAGCCACTCCGACCAGTCTGTTTGATGGTAATTGACGTAGATGCGGAGATAATGCTCGATCTCCTGATTCATGCATTCTGTCTGCCTATCCATGATTGGGTGATACGCGGTCCCTGGATTCATTTCTATGCCCAACATCCGATTTGTCTCCTTCATGAAGCCCTTGATGTATCGTGAGTCCCTGTCGGTGATGATCTTGTGAGGGATCCCGTGATAGCGGAAGACTCGGTCCCTGGTTAACTGTGCCACTCCTTCACTGCTGATGTCAGTACTAATTGGTTTGACATGGATCATTTTGGTGAAGGTGTCACACCACACATGAATTGCGTCATACCCGTTACTGACCGGCAGGGGTCCGATTTGATCCATTGAGATGATTTCCCATGGCACGTTTGGAACTGCATGCAGGTGTAGAGTCCCTGTCCTTGCTCTCCTGGTCTTGGTCCGTTGGCACGCCTCGCACGTCTGGATGTACTTCCAAATCTGGTTTCCCATCCTTGGCCACCAGTAGTTCCTTTCCACCATCTCCTGCGTTTGGTTGATCCCAGCGTGTCCGACCAAAGGGGTGTCGTGGTGTAGTCCAATGATCTTGTCCCGCAACTCCTCGTCTCTTGGTACATAGAGCTTCCCATGATACGTGATAAGCCCCTCTTCCTTCTTCCATCCGATGAGTGACTTCTCCAAGGCCGCCTTGACGCTTCCATCAATCGATCGAATAGCCTTGATTTCATCAATTAGCTGCTGATCCTGCCCTTCGAATGTGACTTCTTGTGATCGGAAGAACTCAGGCTTCAGTAGCGTGACGTCCTTGTTGTCGTTCTTGCCCTGATCGTGATCCGCTCGTTGAGACAAGAGATCCGCCTTGCGGTTGAGTGCTCCGGGTCGGTGTCGTAAGGTGAAATCAAACTCTGCCAACTCTGTGATCCATCGTGCTTGCCGTCGATTGAGCTTCTGCGGCTTCCGGAAGTATTCAAGATTCTGATGATCGGTGAAGATCTTGAATGTTTCTGTGGCTCCCAGCAGTAACTGCCTCCATTTGTCCAGTGATAGCATGATTGCGAGCATTTCCTTGTCGTAGGTCTCGTAATTTCGCTCGGTTTCGGTTAATGCGTGTGAAATAAACGTGATTGGGCACCAAATGCTGTCTTGGTTTTGGCTCAAAACTGATCCTGTTGCCCCTTCCGAAGCATTGGCTTCCAGACAATATTGGCCGGTGTCATTTGGCAGTGCTAGGACTGCATCCTCCGCAATTCTCTTCTTCAATCCATCAAATGCTGCATGCTCATCTGTGCCGCATGACCATCCTGTCTTCCCTGTCAGCCGTGTCAACGGCTTGGCAACCTCCGCATATCCCCGGACAAAGTGTCGATAGAAGTTGGTGAACCCTAGGAAAGCTTGGACTTGTTTGACGCTCTTTGGTTCTGGCCATTCCATCACGCCCTTGATCTTGACTGGGTCCATCCGCATTGAATTGTGTCCAATAATTACACCCAAATATTCGATTTCCATGCGTTCGAACTTGCACTTTTTGGGTTTCAGGTACAACTTGTGTTTTTGGAGCAATCCGAGTACTTGCTTCGTGATTCGCCAATGTTCGTCCAAGGTTTCTGTGAAGATTAGTATATTGTCAAGATAAACTACCACGTGACCCTCATTGATCAGTTCTCAAAGTATGTTGTTCATCATGTTTTGAAAGGTTGCTGGAGAGTTCGTGAGACCAAAGAACATGACCAAGGGCTCGTACAGTCCGCGGTTTGTGTGGAACACAGCCTTCTACTTGTCGCCCTCTTTGATCCATATGTTGTTGTATCCCCACCGGATGTCAAGCTTTGTGAAGAACTTGGTGCCACATAGATTATGGACCAGTTCGGAGATCAGTGGCAGCGGGTATCAATTTTGGATTGCCATTTCATTCAGCTTCCGATAATCTTGGATGGGGCGTAGCGAGCCATCCTTCTTCTTAACAAAGAAGAACGCCGATGCCATGGGCAATTTTAATGGCCTGATTTGTCCGCTGGCTAGGTTCTCTTGTAAGAACTTGCTGAGTTTGACCTGCTCGTTTCGTGATAACAGGTACACTTTGCAGTCCACTGCTTTGGAGCCAGGTTTGAGCTTGATTGCATGATCCCATGCCCATCGGTCCAGTAGCGAGTCGAACGATTCCTTGGCAAACACCTTGACAAATTCCTGGTATTGATCTGGAATCTTCCCCTCGGTCATTCTCTCCTTCTCCTTCTCCGCTTCTTCTGCAAATTTCTGTGCCGGTGTTTCCTTTAGCCGGAGATCCACTTCTTTCCCAAAGTCGACCAACAGGATCGATTCTCCGTCTTCCAGATCTGGTGCACCTGTGTCCAGGTCGATTGCATCCATGTCAATCATTGCTTGATGCTCCTCATGACCCCTCATGTGACACCGCTCTGGGCATTGACTGAATCTCATCGTCTGCTCCTGCCAATCCACCTCGGGGTTGTGTTCCGTCAGCCAATCAAGACCAATGAAGATCCGGGCTTTCCCTAAGCACGTCAGAAGGAACGTGCGTGTCTCCACATGAGGACCGATTCTCATCCTCAGATCAACGTAGTGCGTGATTCAACCGCTGATGTTCTCGGTGTTGTCGGCATTATGAGCCACAATGGGTTGTGGAAGCTCTTGGATATTCAACTTCTCCGCCCGTGCGTAGTCGGTATCGATGCAGCAGGTACTGTAGCCACTATCGAGTAGCGCCTTGACTCCGCGCGTCTTTCCTGAGTCCAGGCCCGTGATCTGGACATATATGTCCATCGAATGCCTCTTCCTTTTGGCCTGGTAGTTGCACAATTCCTGCGCCAGTCTGCTGGGCTGCGGGCCCTTCTGTTTCTTGGCCGCCAATTTCCTCTGGACGGCATCTGACACCCTTGTGTGTTTGGGTGCTTCTGGAACCTTGATTTTGGCAGATTCCTTAGGCGCTTCCTCCTTTTTCAAGGATTGAGCCTCTGGAGCGATGCTCCCCTTTTTGGTCTTTGTTGACGTGGTTTCTTCTCTACGAGCCATAAATATGTAGGAGTCCAAAAATAATTTATCTGCAGCTGCTGTCTTCTGATCCTTTTTATCCTGTAGATATTTTCTATTTAGAGCTATTTTCTCCTTACGTTCTTTTTCCATCTCGGCAACAAGAAACTTGTGAATATTTGTACGTAGTGAGTTGGGGAGCATGTATATATCATGAGGAATACTGTTCATATCTTTAATTGAAACAAGTACAGAAAATTGTCCATAGTCCGGATGCTCCACCTCCTTGGCTAGAGGAGTGGAGCGCTTCAAAAACCCTTCTTGCGCAGCTTCTCAGCAATCTCCTTGAGGAACTCGTTGTCCTTGTCCCCGTTCTCGATCTCTTCAAGCATCGTGGCCCGATTGAAGAACATGTGCTTCTTCCTTAGCTTTGGACAGTTCCGTGCAATGTGCCCAGGCTGCTGACAGTTGTAGCAGATGATATTGCGGCTGCGGGCGTGGGTGCGATTGATTTCCATTGGAACCGGCTTGTTGGCAGCCGGCCAGGTCAGAGCGGGTGTGGGCGCTGCTGGTGCCGCCTGGGGACGGAACTGGGGCAGTGGTCGTGGTGTGGAGTGCCCATACGATGCTTTGCACAGCTGATTGCGCAGAGTGTTTGCCTTAATGTTGATGCACCAGTCCTTGAAGGCACCATACACCTTGGACAGAGGGACACCAGTGTTGTAGAGGTGACTGGTGATCTCGCTACTGAGTCCGCGTTCGAGGAACTTGATGAGGATGTTGTCTTGATCCCCCTTCTTGTACTCACCCTTGTTGTCGGTGGTGGTGACCACATCATACCCTGCGTCCGCAGCCAACATCTCGAAGTCGGAGATATAATCTGCAAAGGACCGTCTATTCTGGCGCAGAGCCATGAGTCGAGCGGCGGCAACTTGCTCCGTGTTGGAGTCCCCAAAGGCCCTCTGTAGCTCCTCCAAGAAGGTCGCCGAGGTGACCCCAGCCTTTACTCCATTAAGACTCTCAAAGTTGCGCTGCTTCCAGTTCATCACCCATCTCGAGGCGGCGCAGCTTGTGCCAGCCTCGTTGCAGAGGTAGGAGAGGATGAAGAGGATTTTGGTTTCATCCATCGAGAATTCTGACCAGTATGTACCGATGTAGGTGGTGCACGAGTCCATGAAGCCCATGTATTTGGTCTTGTCCCCATCGAAGTAGGGGGGGTTGGCGGCAAGGGTGATGCGGTGATGTCCTGACATGGTGGGAGCAGGCGTGGTAGGTGGGGGCAAGAGTGGTTGTTTGGAGGGTAACTTGTCAAGGTTGGGGATCTCGTCTTCAGGCGGCGGGAGGGTGAGGTAGGGATTGGAGGGCCCTGGTTGGTTTTGATACGCCAGATCGGGCGACGATGGTAGGATGGGAGGAGAAGACGGACTCCCAGACGATGATGGAAATCGGAACAAAATGGTGGATTTGTGTGCTGTACAAGCACTCGAGGGAGGGTTCTTTTGCTAGCAAAAAGATCCTGGGCCTAGCTCTTCACGTGCCCGATGATCCCAAGGTGCGTTTTCCCAAAGGTCTCTGCAGCACTCCTTGTAGCTACCGTAAGGCTTGGGTCGGGCTCAACGTTACCCATGGCCTGGTGCTGTTTGCTCAAGATGAACCCTTCACTGCGATTGCAGAGAACGACTCGATGATTCGGTAGAAGGGTGAGTGAGATGATAGAGGTTAAGAAGATATAGCGGGCGTAGCGGTGAGGGATGCAGAGGTAAGAGGTATGAGGTAGGAGGGGAGTCTTCGATTTATGTGACAATCAACCCAAAAACAAAGTCGAAAAGAGAAGTGAATTCGAAGACTGGAGAATACAACCAAGTAGCTACAGTATTTATACCCAAATCCAGTCTGAGTCATATCTACAACTAATGAGTCATAGGGCTATGTACCACATGGAACACTGGTCATGGGTTGTAGTAGAACCTTCCGGAGCATATGTCGCGCAGCCTTGAATTGATAAAGATGACCCCTGTCCCCCTAGCCCGGACCGTCAGATGCCGTGATCCGTGATAAGATAAGATGGTTGATGATAAGATGAAAAAGTGGCCGAACTATGACAACTGTCCATGTAGAAAGAAAAAAAACTTGCTGGCGCTTGTGTTTATTACTAGGTCACTAAGTGATCTTTTGTTGAAGTCACTGAGAGATACTGAGAGCAGTCACCACACCATGTACATTGGCCTAGAGCTCAATGATGTAGAACTCACAAACAATCAAGTGTAAACAAAAACAAGCAGCTGTCTGCAATCAAAACCTGCTCAATCATTTGAAATCTGCCGTAATGTTGTGTAGCCCTACCAATAACAGAGATAGTCAATCAATCTGTCAATAATAGATGATTATCTGCACATTAGCGTGATATCCGCGTTGAGACAGATCTCCCTTAACCACTCTGTGATCTTTTGGATTTTGATGCACTCTGTAATCCTTCTTCCCACCATTGTGACAATCAACCTAAAAACAAGTCAATAAGGAGAATGAATTCCAAGACTGGGGAATACATGACAATAGCTACAGTATTTATACCAGTCCCAGTGTGAGTCATATCTACATCAAACAAGTCATGAGACTATGTACCGTGTGGAGTGTTGGTTATGGGTTGTAGTAGAACCTTATAGAGCACATGCCGCGCAGCCTTTGTACAGGTAACACCTCTGAGCCCCTAACCTGGACCGTATGGTGCTGTGATCCATGATAAGATAACCTGATGTCAAGATTAGATAAGATTGTTAATAGAATAATGAGAAAGTGATTGAGTTATGACACTCAAGGGTCAATGTCCTCATTGACTGAGCCAATGGGCATAAAGACATTGTCTTAAGGGTCAAAGAGTTGTTGTCAGGGATATGGAAGCCGCTTGTCTTTGGGCTTGTAGCAATGGATGAGATAGTCCCAATGTCTGGCTTCAAGCGTTGGCAGGAGGCAAATGTGTGTGTCTGGGTGTCATAATTCAGCCCTTTTTCATCTTATCCTCGATGATCTTATCTTATCTCGACACGGATTATCTTATCGCGGATCACGGCATCTGACGGTCCGGGCTAGGGGGACAGGGGTCATCTTTATCAATTCAAGGCTGCGCGACATATGCTCCGGAAGGTTCTACTACAACCCATGACCAGTGTTCCATGCGGTACATAGCCCTATGACTCATTAGTTGTAGATATGACTCAGACTGGATTTGGGTATAAATACTGTAGCTACTTGGTTGTATTCTCCAGTCTTCGAATTCACTTCTCTTTTCGACTTTGTTTTTGGGTTGATTGTCACACTGGGTTGGATTGTTTCTTCTGCCAAGTCTCCAGGACCTTCTTTGTGTGGGTAAGATGACGTGATGGCTCCTATGTGTTCTTGCTATGCAGCCATCCCTTCCATTTGACCAAGTACTGTTTTCCTTGGCCAACGTGTTGTTCTTTGACAATCTCTTTGTCTTAGTTTGGCCACTTTTTCATCTTATCACCAAGGATCTTATCTTATGTCAGCGCAGTGAAATGCTGAGGGTGCGCTCACAAGTGAATCTACTATGAAGTAAATCCAAATATAAACATGTTCACACGCCTCATAATCAGCTTCTCAGTGTGTGAAAGATGCAAGGGCTTTGAGGTGAACAGAACACCAGTATCACAACTCTCAATAGACACGGGATCCAATAGTCGTGGAGGACAGAGTTGACGACAAAGATATATATATAGCAAACAGTGGTATCTCAACCAATATCTTCTATACAGCCAAAACCAACACTCATCCAACTACAACCAACAATATCACAAGTCAGAACTTAATACGAAGTATTAAGATCCCTTGTAGTGACAGCGTCCAGATGGCGACGCAAAGCCCAAAATATCAAGTTGACACACTGCCAACCAACACAACCAAAATACTGAGTTGACGCACTGCCAACTGACACAACCAAAGTACTGAATCAACGCACTGCCAACTAGTAAAACCAAAATGCCGTGTTGACGCACTGCCAACTAACAGCCAATATCCAAAGTCCAAAACCCGAGCACAACTTGTTGACATGCTGCCAAGCAAGAGGTGTGGAACCAAAGTCCTCAAGTCAACACACTGCCAACTGACCAAAACTACCCGAGCACAACTAGCCAACACACTGCCAAGCTAGAGGTGTTGAACGATCTCAACTAAGCCCAAAGGCAACAACACAAAGTGCTGTGACAAAACCAGAAGCAGCAAATCTGGCTTTCTGATATCTCGACTCAAACTCAAAGCACAGTAGCTATGAGTGCTTGGGGAGCAGCTCGTTGTGACCGGGCAGGGATAATAGAACTTCTTAAGGAGGAATCACGTGACACGCAAATTGTACAAAACAATCTGATATGGGTATGATTCACAGTCCGGGGAAAGCTCCCCAATACAAAGAAACAATGTGCTACTTATACTGCCTACAACAGTGCTTAGTAAAGTCCTGTACAACTGCATAGTAGCTACGCTATCTAAGATTGGTTGCTTTTTATGGTAATGAAAAGTTGAATGATCGGACAGGTCCTGACTGATCAGGACCCTACCCCATTGTCCATATGGTGCTTTTGATGTGGGACAACCCACTGCGTCATACTTCTGGAATACGATGTGTCGGATTGGCCAGTTGGTATGTCTTGGCAAGTGAGTCCAACGTGGGTGCCCTAAGAAGCTGTATGGCCCTAGGCACGCCAGACGTTCCTCACATGGTTTGGTTCACGGACCTAGCCTGTGTTGCTTTTGGTGTGTTTGGGTATAGGCACGACTCACCATGACACTTGGAAGTGTCACCGCGACGCATCCACAATATCCCGTGATTGAGTGGAACATGGCATGTGACAAGTCATCGCTGTGGCCTGATCCAAAGGAACATCCAACCTAAAGCCAGGAGTTGCCGCGACAAGATTGGTTCAATCTTGTAACACCAACTCCTGTCTAGTAGTAGTTGTTATGTTGAGCACGTTGCGCATTGCTAAGCCCTCTAGCCTGAGTTCCCATCTGCAGAGAATGACCCTTTTGAGGAGTCGCCACAACAAAGTATCCCTTTTGAGGAATTGTCGCGGTCCAAGTGTCCATCACTAATAGCCCTGAGTCTGGTGTAGACTTATAAGACCAATTCCACAGTAGTGGTCTGACTGCATTGCTATCATCGACACTATCCACAGTCGTTGACTGGGCAGCAGACTCTTAAGTCCTACTGAGCGCAACACTGTCATCCACAACACAATACACACTATAGTCAGATGGTTTTTGAGCCTAAGAGGGTACCAAAAGTGGTCATTTTTTAGCCTTAAGAGGGTCCAAGACCACTCAGTGGTCTCAGACCATTCACCTTTTTGGGCACAACCACCCATCCCAATGCAGTAGCACCCCCTATTTTGACTGTTGAAAAGGGTGGTCTCAACCATTTGTTGGCCTGTGGTTGCACCCACCTCAGGTCAATTGATGGTCCTCACTGCATATGGTTGCAACCACCCTGTGATCATGCATTTGTGATTGCTCCAATTAGCCTTGTGGGCTGCTTGGATGGGCTGTTCAGCTTGTAGATGAGTACAATGGGGGTGCATCCAGCCCATCCCAAGAGGAGGATGCTGTCTCCGGCCCCAGGGCCGGCCGTAGGCCGGGGGAAAAAAAATTCTTGAATGCTCCAATTAGCCTTGCAGGCTGCTTGGATGGGCTGTTCAGCTTGTAGATGCATACAATGGGGGTGCACTCAGCCCATCCTGAAAGGGGGATGCACTATCCAGCCCCAGGGCCGGCCGTAGGCCGGGGGAAAAAAAAATTCCCAGATGCTCCAATTAGCCTTGCAGGTTGCTTGTATGGGCTGTTCAGCTTGTAGACAAGTACAATGGGGGTGCACCAAGATCATACTGAGTGGAGGGTGCTGTATCTGGCCCCACAGCTAGCTGTAGGCCAGAAAAGAAAATCACCCTTTGCTTGCTCAAGTGGGTGGTTGCAACCACCACAGGGGCTGGATGTGGTCAGAACCATCCTGTTCTCATGCATTTTTGAATGCTCTGTTTACCCTTTTAGGCTGCCTGTATGGGTGTTTCAGCTTGTATACAAGAACCTTGAGGGTGCATTCAGTGTATGCGCAAGAGCAAATGCTATATTTGAGCCCACAGCCGGCAATAAGCCAGGAAAGAAATAATTTATGAATGCTCCAATTACCCTTGTTGGCTGCTTGTATGCGTGTTTCACCTCGTATAGAAGTACACTCAGAATTGCTCATTTTTGGCACATTCTGGGAAACTTGGCCAGGATTGAATATCAATATGGGGTATTGTCTAAAAAGGAAATGTTGATTTCTCATCACGTTCTATACTAGCATCAGTCACATACTTCACTGTCAAGTGGAATAGCACAGCTTTTGATTGCACATCAATTTTTGATGATGCTAATGATGTAACACAAATTTATAATCAGTTCACCAGTTACATGTCACAAAAGCCCTGACGAGGAAGAAATACAATAATTTGTCACAGGTCACAAGTCAAGGTGACAATTTCATTTTTTGGTTCCTCAGATTGGGTCTGCATCTTGGCTGGTCATTAGTATTGGGTGTTTCTAGAGTTTCAGGGCAGGATTTTACTACCTGGCAATTCTTTTGTCACAGATCACAGACCTAGCTGACAGATTGACAAATCAGTGCCAGATGTCACTTGTCACAGGGGGTGGCAAACTGATTATAACGTTACAGTAAATCCTAATCTCATCTTAAATGTTAGACCCTGATTGACATCATCTGCTTACTCAATTTATGCTCATGTTGTTGGTTCTCTCTTAGCCATTCAGGAGACATTCTTCTATGTAATCACTTACATTTGTGCTCTTCCAAGCCATTGCACTGTTGTACAATGCCTCCATACTCTAATTCTTTCATTGATATCCTACATAGCTTTCAATGGCAGCACATGTTTCTTTAGGCATATCCCTCTTCCTTTCTAACACTGTGTGCTTCTCTAGCAATGCACTGCTGTCTTATATCACATAGTAGAGCCAGTGATTAAAGGAACAGAAAAAGCAGTGGAAGCAAGGGTAACAGGTAGAAAGGAAAGCCACTCTTGTAATACAGATATTGTTGCTTCAGTCACCCTAAGCAAAGTGCTAGTCCATTACAGTAAGCTATTTGGGAATTTTAGAGGACTCATTGCTCTGAAAATCTTGCTCTATCTATTTTATTCAGGTGCAACTGATTTGGCATTAGCAATGTAAGAGGAACTGTGTAAGTGAGTTTCAAGCTCTTCTCAATGTTGAAATGGACTTCTATGGGGTTTCACACTCAGAATATGGATTCCAAGGCAAGGGAAGGTAAAAGGCCTGTATGATTTTTGAGGGGCATAGCTTAACAAGTCAGAGATGTACCACTATTGCAAGTTCAAGTAATTTCTGGGTCTTGTTCTCACTCCAAGGATGATCGACACTCCAAAGAAAACCCAAGACCCAGAAATTACTTGAACTTGCAATAGTGGTACATCTCTGACTTGTTAAGCTATGCCCCTCAAAAATCATACAGGCCTTTTACCTTCCCTTGCCTTGGAATCCATATTCTGAGTGTGAAACCCCATAGAAGTCCATTTCAACATTGAGAAGAGCTTGAAACTCACTTACACAGTTCCTCTTACATTGCTAATGCCAAATCAGTTGCACCTGAATAAAATAGATAGAGCAAGATTTTCAGAGCAATGAGTCCTCTAAAATTCCCAAATAGCTTACTGTAATGGACTAGCACTTTGCTTAGGGTGACTGAAGCAACAATATCTGTATTACAAGAGTGGCTTTCCTTTCTACCTGTTACCCTTGCTTCCACTGCTTTTTCTGTTCCTTTAATCACTGGCTCTACTATGTGATATAAGACAGCAGTGCATTGCTAGAGAAGCACACAGTGTTAGAAAGGAAGAGGGATATGCCTAAAGAAACATGTGCTGCCATTGAAAGCTATGTAGGATATCAATGAAAGAATTAGAGTATGGAGGCATTGTACAACAGTGCAATGGCTTGGAAGAGCACAAATGTAAGTGATTACATAGAAGAATGTCTCCTGAATGGCTAAGAGAGAACCAACAACATGAGCATAAATTGAGTAAGCAGATGATGTCAATCAGGGTCTAACATTTAAGATGAGATTAGGATTTACTGTAACGTTATAATCAGTTTGCCACCCCCTGTGACAAGTGACATCTGGCACTGATTTGTCAATCTGTCAGCTAGGTCTGTGATCTGTGACAAAAGAATTGCCAGGTAGTAAAATCCTGCCCTGA